AGCTCCAGCAAGCTTCTCTCAATCTCTTTTGCTGCATCATGCCTGTCCTGTATCTCCACCACTGTCTCCAACACCTTACCTTTACCGTGCTCCTGAATTGCTCTACTTAAAAACTCCTCTCCTCCATTGCTATCAGAAATGATCTTATCTATGATTTCCTCATCTGGGTACTCACCAGTTACTGTAAAGTACCTTCTTCCAACAGTCTCCTTGTACTCGGTCATCACCTTCTGTCTCAACCCTTGAAACTCCATCATCAGCTCCTTCAACTTTTTGCGCAGACCATTGGTGACTGCAATCCTAGTCCTGTAAATTGGGGTACCTTCTTTGCATCCAGAAAGGCGCTTATTAGCAATATTTGCCCTGTCCATCTCCTCAAGCTGGGACCTTATGCTCTTCGCCTTTTTCAGCACTGTCAATATGTCATTGTTGATTTTGTGACGCAGCAATTTGAGGGACTCAGACTTGTGCATTGACTTGCTTTCTTCATTGGATTCTTGGAGCCTCCCTAGGATTTCACGAATTACTCCCATTTCTTGCTTTACTTTCTCTGCTTCCTCGAGAAACAGACCTAGGTTTTGGTCCATGGAATTGGCTGTTGCAGACATCTCTAGATCATAGTCTGGTCCAGCTTCAAGGTCTTTCATTGCTTCCTTCTTCAGATCTACATAGCTGGTGAAAGATTTTGTCATCAAATCATTCATTTTGACCTTACAAAGCTTCTTCCAACACCTGAAATAAACAACAAAAGAAATATAGTAGTCAGCTCTGTTTTATGGGTATTTCAATCTAAAATCAGATCAACTTATAAACCTTAATTTCTTCAACGTTAGAAACAAATACGATCGAAATGGAAAGAAAATCGAACTGAAAAATCAAATTAGTGAAATGGGTCCTGCATACCTTCTTCAACTGGGTAAAAGAACTGAAAATTCAAATTAAGAAAGGAAGGATTTTTTTTTTTTTCTGGCAACAATGAAATCTCAGGTGGATTTTTAAAATGAAATCTCAGGTGTTGGGAGATTACAATGTAGTTAATTTGAAAATGGAATTTAAAGGGGTACTTAAAAGGACGTGAAATTAAAAAAGATAAGAAGGAATTTAGCCGTTGGAATTTGCAACGGCTACATTTCTGAAAACGTCCGTTAGACTTGAGAGAGAGAGAGAGAGAGAGAGAGAGAGCCATTTAATCCGTTACGTCAGATTTCGCTCACTTTGTTGGGGCAATTGTAAAATATTTGATTTTTCGTGTACTGATTTGAAATTTTACCCAAAAGCGAATACCACTTTGCAAATTCTGGGGGATCGTCGCGTTTTTCAATCTCTGGTTGCGATTCGACCACATTAGTTATTGTAAATATATAAATATATAAATATATATACAATCTTATTTTTAAAAAATTAATTTTTAATAACTATAGATTGTTGAATTTAAAAATGATAATATGGTGAATTTTTATTTTTTGATATGAATTAATAATAGTGATAATTAACTAATATTCCCTAATAATATATATTGAATAAAGGGAATGTCAAATATCCACGTCAAAACTAAAATAACTATAATAACGTAAAAATTTTAAATTCTTAAATCTCATATATGATCGATTTCAATGAGCTTTTTCAAATTAATATTTTTTATGATCCGACTTTATAATTTTTTCAATAAATATTAGTTATTTAATCAAGTTTTAAACGATTTTTTAATTTATTTAATCAAGTTTTAAACGATTTTTTAATAAGATCGATTTTGCATTTCGTATGCAAAATTTAATTTAAAACTTTAGATAAAAATGTTATTAAGATATTGGGTGCTTATAATATCTTGCCTCGTCTGCATTTTGATGATTGATTGAGCAAATAAATTAACTTTAATGTAAATTTATTGTGTGAAGAGTTTATAATAAATAAAATAATTACTTGAAATTCTAATGTTGCAATTCAAGTTCCCACGACTTAGAGATAAGGGCTTAAATGGCAAACTGTGACTCGCAAAAGATTTTTTTGAGTTTATGATATCTAATTTTTTTCGTATTTATATGAAAAGAATGTTATTATTTATAATTATTTGTATATTACATGTGTAGCACCCGGAAAGGAGGAGGAAAAAAAAAAAAAAAAAAGGGGGGGGCCACGTCAGCAGCCACGTCAGCAGTCCCGGCCAACCAGGGCTTGCCACGTGGCAAGATCGCGTCACTCCGAAAGGAGCCACGTTGGCGATCCGCGTGGGTGCGATCCGACGGCCCAGATCAATCGCGCGATCGGACGACCCAGATTCAATCAAAAACGAACGGCCCAGATTAAAACGAAATGAACGGCTGTGATCAAAAGGCAAGGGGTTATAAATAGAACCCCCACACCAGACCACAAACCCTAGCCGCCAGCCGCTCGCCGGAGAAGACGAACCAGAGGCCGACCGCCGCCACCCGCCGCCACTCGCCGCCGCACCGGGGAAATTTCCGACCGCCGATCGAGGTAAATTTCATACCCCCGACTCGTTTTTCCCCACTGATTCCTCCTATGGCCGAATCGAAGCCGAAATCCCGGCCAAACGGCCGGAATACACGGCCGAAGCCCAGCGGCGCCGCCGCGCCCCCTCTCAGTTTTTGCCTCCGACGAGGCCCTTCCCGGCCT